TAAGGTGTCTTTAGCCCCAAATCCACTGTGGTTTTCTAGCAGGTCCCTTGGGAATAATTCCAGTGAGATCTTTTGTAAGGTTCTTAAATTCCAACAGAGTTCTGAATAAAGAATGCTTTGAGTACCATGTTATTACTTGTCTCAGCTTCATAAAGCTCTTCCACAGAAAAGAAGGAAACCTTGAAAGACCTTGATTGCTGGCCTCCTTCAGTAGCTCTTTCAGTCCTTTTCATAATCAAAGAGGGAGGGGACACCAAGTTGTATTGAAAGGCAGGGTAGTTCTTCGCAATACAAGTTTGTTGCCATGGATCATTTTGAGCTTTAAATAGACATTGTGGATATGTATGCAAGGAGACTGCATAGAATCTTTGGGTTTGGTCAAATCCTTTCAGATGAATCAAGTTGTAGACTGAAAAAATACGATTAGTTTGACCTAAACAACATTTTAATGATAGGAGTCTTGCACTGAGAGATGTCTTAGCTCGCAGACTGCAGGTTTGCCCTCTGTATTGCACAAACATAAGTGAAAGGTGCACTTTCTTACAGTTTTACTGATGGTAGAAGAACCAAAATAAACTATATTGTCCAGAGCACTTACATAGGGTGTACTGTAGAGCATGTCATCAGCCATGCAGTATTTGCAGTGGGTCAGTACAGACATAGAGATGCATTTTTTCCTGTGGTAGAAAGCTTAAGCAGCACTTCTGATTCTCTTTTTGGGGACAAATTTCAGGCTTCCCCAAGGGATAATCAAAATGCAGGAAAGGGATCATAATGGATTCAGTTTTGCCCTAATCAAACTGCAGTGGCAGTGTGTGGTTTACTTGCATTCAACTGAGCGTGATAAGAGCAAGGCAGTGCAGCTGAGTCCCAGCGCCAGCTTCCTCCAGGCAGCTCACAGGACAGCAGAGTAGTGAAAAAACATCAGTCATTTTCTATCTATGTGACATTGATTAATTGTTTAGAACTGCCTTTCTGTGCCTTGGTTGCACTGCTGTTGTTTGCTTCGGCCCTCAGAAAAGATGGTTTAGAAAGGCAGAGTTAATGTGGTTCCTGCGTAAAAAAACAAAATAGCTGAGAAAAATGGAATGCTTTGTTTCATTAGCTGCCTTTGCAAACGGAATCTGAGGGTTCTCTTCTATAAAGTCAACTATAATTTCTGCAATTAGATTTTTACTTCATTTATTGTTAATGTTTTAAATGCTAAGATTGATGCATGGATTAATTTAAATCATGGAATTTTAGTTCTCAGAGGCTCTTTAGTCTTACTGAACTAACATTTAAAAGAAACAATTTAGAAATTGTTATTATAGGATGTTAAAATAGATCAAATAGTACTTTTTGTAGCAATTCTGAAAATCTGTGTTCAAACTAGGTTAAATTTCCCAGCTGAGGAGAAGCTATAATGCCTTTTCTCTATACCTTGTCCTTCTATTTGTCAAATCTCTGTTTAAATAATCTGTGAAACCACTTTTGCAATTCTTTGCAAATTGCTTTCTTATGTCAGTCATTTGTGTCCAAATAATTAAGCTGCACAGGAATTGAAGAGGAATCTCTGACTAACAGTTAAATTATGAAAAAAATTAAAACCCCCCAAAAATTGTCAAAGAAAATGTATTTTTTTTTTTTCTCTTTTACAGTATTCGTACCAGCCATTTTTGTTGAAAAGCTTTCTTTGGTGCCTATACTTTAGCCTATGACAAAATGTCCTGCATTTGTTATTTATAATTTATAATCTGCCAGTTTACTGTTTGTGGATGTAACTCAGAATTGTGCTAAGTGGAGAATTCTAAAATTCTTAGAGAATTTGAAACCAGCTAGTTTACAAATTGCTATTTGTTTTCATTTTTGCATAAGAATATTGAAAGTTTCAGCTTTTTAACAGAATGTAACAGTGGCTTTTAAAATCATGGTAAGTAATGAACAGCTGGGAAATACTTTGAATCCAGTGAGGTAGAAAAGTAGTAACGGTGGATGTGGCTGGTGTGAGGGACAAAGATGATTGAGGCAAGGGAAGCGTAGGAGTAGCAGAGAACTTAGAACTGTAGATGGAGATCATGTCCTTCTATAATGTTTTTAGTAAAATCATCTGTTGAGATGTAATTCTTGTGGGTTTAAAATGATGGTATGAAAAGGCTCAGTAGTGGGCTTCCTACATATTTACAAATATAGGTTAATGTGCAGGTCTTACTAAGAACTGAAAATAAATTGAGATTAGTTTTTTTTCTAGTAACCACAAGCAGCAATCTTCACAAAAGCTTTGTGAAATTAAGAGATACCGCTTGCTAAGCTCATTAAAAACAAGACTAAAAAGCCTTTATAGGTAATATTTCCTTGCAATATGAGGCAACATCTGTATTTGTGGGGTTTTTTCTTCAGATATGAGATTATTTCCAGAGTATGTAGTTTCCTAAAGATAAAAAGAATGCCATGTGCATGTTGGTCATCAACCCAGAGCCAGGCTATAGGAACAGAAATTGTTATTCCGGAGCTTTTGGAGCGACATGGAAGTTGCATAGAAGTTTGAGCTGTAACTGACCTGAGTATCTGACTAAGGGCCATCGAGGGAGATACTCCAATTCTTGTAGTCCTCCAATGTGTTATAGAAGGTGAAGGTCCTTCAACTTCAGAATTAGTCTCTTGCTGGGGCACATAATTTCAGATACTTGAAAATCTTAATGCAGTTGGTTGTATCCTGAGCTCTTTTCAAAATTACTGGTTTAGTTGTTTTGGGTTTTTTTATGTGAAAGCCTGAAATCATTCCTGTGCTAATCTGACTTTGAAGCCATCTCTGATGCACGATGTACTGTATTTAGGTAGTTTAAAACCCAAACAAATCTAGTAATTTCTACTTAAAGGGATGTTGATAGCTTCTCTTTCAAGCTTTTAGTCTAGATATTAAAATCAGGAAGCCATTCTTGACACACGTATACTTGAAATGGCCATGTATATAAATGTTTAAAAAATAATCTTTTCACACATACATGCTATTAATACATTGTTATGTATGTCTACATCAGAGAAATTTGCATATAAGTCTGCAGTTTGCTTCTATTTCTTTACTTTCTGATTGTTTTTCCATGAAACCAAAGACTTGAAGCTGAAATCTTCAGGTACTAGATTTACAGCCACACTTAATGTTTTTGAAATGTATTAACCTGTCTCTAGTATTTAGTGGGGAAGATGTTGCCCAAATGTCAGTTGTAGATGGTTTAGGAAATTTATGAAATTCTAACCCAGTGGGAAAGCGGGTTGGGGGAAGCAGATGAAAGCTGATAAAAATATTAAATTCTCTTTGATGTCTTCCTGTGCTGCCTTCTCAGTAAATTTGTGCTTAATACTCAAAAATAGGAATATTGGTAACTGAAGTAGCTCCTTCAGTATCTGGAAATCAAGAACCTTGTTGAAAACTTGGTCTCTCAAAACTGCTTTTTACATCAGGTTTTCAAATAGACAAGTAGTAAACCCTGTGACTAGTTGGAATTGCTTATGGATTTCAGTTTGTGTGACTTTTCCATGACAGATGCAAACTTACAAGTTTCCCTTAAATTTATATAGCATGTATCAATTCCTGGAGCTCCAGTATCTGTAAATCTAGTTTTCTGCTATCTTCTTATTACAATTTTTAGATGCAGTGGGAGAGATAAGTTAATAACAGCTGTGCCTATGGAGAAAGGGGTTCTTTATCCCTTTGTTTAGTCCTGTATAACGTTACAGAAGGTTGCACAGCTGTAAAGGCTTTTCACATCTTCTCCATTGAGTATGTTTGCATGACAGTAAAATGGACTGCTAGTTCATTAAATTGGACTTAGAGATCCACAAATAATCTCCCATCTTCTGTGTGAAAAGTAAAATGTCTTTTCTTAGAGATTATACACAAGTTCTCTTAAGCCAGCGTGGCAGGCTTCATTTTTCTCCTTATGTATTTCAGGATCTGAAAGTGCTTTTAAAAGCTAGAACAGACCTTTGAATTATGTAAAGAATAAATGTAGGAGAACTTAATATGCTGTGGAGCTGTAGCTGCTGTAGGGATGGAACCAGGCTTGATCAGAGCAGGCTAGGACAAAATGTTAAACAGAAGCATCAATGTCTGGAATTTCTCTAGGACAAAAACTCTTACTTCAGCTTAGCAACACCAAAAGTGTTACGGTCAAGAAAGCCTGATAGTTTGTAAAAAAACCCCTCACTATTAATAATGTGTATACTTGAAATGCTCTGAAGATTTGTGTTAATGTTTCCTGTGAGATAAAAACATTACCTAATTAGAACTTAAATGAAAAGCAGTGCAAATACAAACCATGTGGCATTTGCAATAGGAAGTGGAATAGGTTTTTGTGGTTACTTGGGTTTGCTCAGTAGCAGTGATCTATTTAAATTAGGGAGCTCAGCAAAGGAATAGTACAATATTAAAATGTCACAGACTAGCAATTTTGCTTTTTTTATATGGTTTTATTATTGCTAATCTGCTTATTTCATGGGTGGAAATCTAAGTTCAAGAACTTAAATATATTATATATCATTTCATGAGAAAATTAGTTGATATTTGGTGCTCAGAGGGTAGAGGGAAATAGTACAACAGCCCTTAGTACCTGTCCAGCTGAGTGTAGTAGTACACAGACATGCTGCATAGTGATGTGTAGATCCAACACAACCAGATTCAAAGAGAGGTTAATGTAACCAAGGAATACAGTGGTTTTCCCCAGTCACAAATAAAGTAACTGGTGTTATCAGTTCTTTGGGCGAGTCATCTGAAAAGTAAAGCATCAGGCATAACTCAGCACCTCACCAGGTTTAACTGCGGTTAGTTGGACTTATATTTGCTGTCAGGACCATTGCTTAGAGCTTTGAAAACATCAAGGAAACCTTTATAGACTTTTTAATTCTGATTAATTGGGAACAGTTTCTCTTGCAACATAAGGGAATGTAATACATCTTTACTGTTGCTGTGCATGGTTCAGTAACGTAAGCATAGCATAAATATTTCCTTTTTACTTCTGCAGGAGAAGCCCTGAGAGGAAAGATAACAGTCCGCAAGAACAGAAAGGATCCACGGTCCCTCTTTATAACCCTCTCCATGAAGGACACACAGCAGACCTACAGCCTTCAGTGAAAATTATGTTCATATCAGCATTAAATTTAAATGTTAGAGTTAACTGTTTCTAAATATCCCAAAATGGTAAACTCTAGGGTTTGTGTATGTATACGCACACACAAACATATGCAAAGCTTACCTAGAATTGAGGGGGTAATGTTTGGATGCTTTTGCATCCGCTGTGGATGTGGAGACTGACTACAGAATCAGATTCTGCTGTATTTCACATGATGTGGGGAAGGCAAGAAAGATGGTTTTGGGTTATGTGAGACTGCTAGGTGAGAAGAATCAGATCAAAGTCTTGCTGTGAGGAATAATAAATACGATCTCTCGATACTCCTTTCTCTCCAGCTGGCAAAATCCTTTTGTGGTTTATTTTACTTTTTAGAAGAAGCTAAATCATGTGCTGGTGCACCTCAACAGTAGCCGCAAAGTCCCGGTTAGAGTAAGTGTGGAATTCCAACTGCAGGATTACAGCAACAAAGACTTTATTTTTATTACACTTCTATAATTAAAAAGTTGTATCACTTTTCAGTTAAATTTATCTGAATAAATGAACCAAGTATCTTGTATAATGCAGTTGCCAGTTTCCTTGTTTTCTTTGTAATTGGAAATTCTTCTCTCTCTGCACTGATGGCTCACTGTGGCTACAGTTTGTTATGTACTAGCCTACCAGAGCATCGAAAGGTGTATTTTAGCAGCTTTAGGATAAATACTATGAAGGAGTTGCTGAAATGGTGGATTTGGTTTAGCTGCTTACAGAAACAGGCTATGAACAACCAAGGATTAATGCGTGTGTCGTGATGTTTAACATGTGAAACTGCAGAAGAGTTGGAAATAAGCGTAACACCGTGCAGTTTATGTGCTTGTATTGTATATTTGTGTGAAAAGTGGTTTCAAAAGTCATTTCAAGAAGTAAAATGGCAGCATTTCACTAGTGATCTCTGAACTGCTGTTAAAATTATGTTAGGGCCTTTTTTGATGGGTGAAGATGAGAAGGAAATTCTTTCCCTTGGAATCTGCTCAACAAAGCTTAGCTAATTATATATTGTATAATGGGGTGAAATACTTTTTTGCCTTGCTAAAGAGGAGTGTTAGCCATATTAATAGCAATTTGGCAGAAAAGTGAAACCTCGTATTCTAAAAGCTGAAATTTTTCTGCGAAGCAGCACTTCATACAGTGAAGTGGCTGTTGAACAGGAAGTGACAATTGCTACAGTGCTATTGTATTTTTAACTGAAGAGTTGTGGATTTGTATTTCATTTTACACTGCTTTTATCCTCTCTTGTGTAAACATGTGGCTTCCTCATTTGCATCCAGATACTTTCCTTGCTCTGGGAGGTGAGGTGGAAATTCTTTCCTGTGTGAAAACTATTGTATTACCTGTAGACCCTTAAATGTCCTGATTAACACCTAGATATTCAAGAGCTCAGCTCACTTATGTAGCTTAATAGGAACACAGTGACAGAGATGATGTGTGTAAGGCTAGGCGGTCTGCTAACATTTTTCAATCTTGGTGACATCTATTCCTTTTGAATATACATTGATAATCTTCATTTGTTAAAATGCTTGAGTATGGTTGTCTGAAAACTCAGACTGTTCAACTCTATAAAAATTGACCTTGCAGATGAAGTGCCAGCAGTTAGCATTGGGCTGATTAATGGAGTTTGTGGTGGAGTTATCCATAATTGGACAGTAAATATGCAGGCTAGGGGATGGACTGATAGTTTTGTCTTTTGCATGTAGAATCACAGGATATTGACAAAAGGAAATTCTCTTATGGTGTTCTCAGTATTATAACAGCCAAAAGTTGGAAGAACCTGCATCTGATTTTGAGCATCTGATGGGTAGTTGACTGTGGGAGCTTCACATATGTTTAGTGTCACTAATGCTTTGACATACTGGTCTTGGACTAGATGGTCTTGTTGAGGTCCCTTCCAACTTCATTTTTTCAGTGCTTCTACAGATTTTGTATAGCTTTCAGTAACAGACCAGAAAATGTAAAAGAGTTTGAAAATGTGTAAAAGAAAATGGTAAATGCTAGTTATAATAAAAAAAAAATAAAATTAAGAAACACCCCCCCCCCAAACCACATCAAGAAGAGAGGATTTGGTATCATCTAATCAGAAACAATGTCCTGAAAAGACTTTAATTGTTATAAAGCCTGAGGAGGGCCTTTTGATAAAGGCATTGGAGTTTCAAAGAACTTAAAATACATGAGTGGGAATTGATCATCACACAGCAGCCTGTGGAAATAGCCCATCAATTATAAGTGGCTTTTCTCACCTTAGCAGTTGAATAATATGAGATTCATCTGACAGCACAATCAGTTATTTATGATTCCTAATGATAATTCTGAGAATTAAATGTTGTAGGAAATATGATCAATCAATACTCTTTAAAAGGGACTCTAATACTGAATCAGAGGCAGAAAAGTGGAAACTAAATGCTTCGAGTAGAAATATCCCTAAATTTGTCCAGTGAGAGAGAGTAGTACTTCATGCAGAATGTGATCCTTTGTTCTAAAGCATGTGGTCAATGTGGACAGAGGTGCAAATAACCTGCAACTGAAGTGAAAGAAAAGAACAAAACAAAAACCAACAACAAAACCTTGACAGTGCGGCAACAGCTAGAAACGCAGAGTTGTGCATTCTGCATAGTTCATATAGTCATAGACTGGTTTGGGTCGGAAGGGACCTTAAAGCTCATCCAGTTCCAACCCCCTGCCATGGGCAGGGACACCTTCCACTAGACCAGGTTGCTCCAAGCCCCGTCCAGCCTGGCCTTGAACACTGCCAGGGATGGGGCAGCCACAGCTTCTCTGGGCAACCTGTGCCAGCGCCTCAGCACCCTCCCAGGAAAGAATTTCTTGCCAATATCTAATCTCAATCTCCCCTCTGTCGGGTTAAAGCCATTGCCCCTTGTCCTGTCCCTACAGGCCCTTGTCCAAAGCCCCTCTCCAGGTTTCTTGTAGCCCCTTTAGGCACTGGCAGCTGCTCTAAGGTCTCCCCTTAAGGAGCCTTCTCTTCTCCAGGCAGGGACAGCCCAGCTCTCTCAGCCTGTCTCCAGAGCAGAGCTGCTCCAGCCCTTCGATCACCTTCGTGGCCTCTTCTGTATTGCCTCCAGCAGGTATGTTCAGGAAAACATTTCTTTCTCCAGGTGGTGGTAATAAATTCCCTTCCAGCTACATCTGCTGCATGCAGATTCCAGGTCATCTCATCAAGTACTTGTGCAGATACTTTATGTCTGACCTGTTTAATGAAGCAGCTACAACTCATTGCTAGGGAGAGGGAGACAGTATCATCCTTGGGTATTTTCTTCCTAGCGTGGGGGATGAGAATCATGCAGATTTATCTGTACTGGGTGTTCTAGCCCTCCTGCTAATCTGTCTTCAACTTACTTATTCTCTTACCCACAGTTACAGTACCCTAACCCACTTCTGTACCCTCAAGGTTATCTGGTTCCTACATATCCTCTTCAAATTCTTTTTATTATATGACAATACAGCCCAGTTGTAGAAACAGCTGTTTGTCAGTTATTTGTCTATCAGGTTTTTAATAGTTTTTAACAACTGGGATAGTCGTCATTTCAGACCCAGATTTATTACTTTAGTCTATTGTCCTAGTTTGGGCTGGGATAGAGTTAATTTCTTCCTAGTAGCTGGTAGATGCTACATTTTGACTTTAGTCTGATGGGGAGGAGGAGGGTGAGTGAGTGGCTGCATGGTACTTAGTGTCTGCTCCTGTGTTTGTAAAAGAAAGAAAGAAGTAAATTGCAGAGAGCCTGAATTTCACTTAGCATCTGACAGTATGTGTCTGCTGCACCAGCTCATATAAATTGAGCTAATCTACCTCACAGCGTTTATTATCTTAGTAGCAACTCCTTATGTGACAAAATCTGGGATTTTTCCCCCTGAGAAATACCAAATTGGTATATCCTATGGGTTAGATCTCACTAGCTTTGAAATGACAATTTGGCATTTATTTCCCTCCTCTCTCCTTGAGGTCTTTTTTTCTGCTGACTCTCTTTTCCGTCTCTGCACTGGTATGTGCAGATGGAGTTTTCCATGCAGATGCCATCCCCCATGGCTGCTGGTTGGCTGCTGTTTGCTTACATGACTCATTCTTCCCCTCATGTTTCTTGTCTGACATGATATGCAGAGCTTTTTGCTGTTGGCTGCATTTCAGAGCACATCCCTCTCGTCCCTCACCTTGGGGTTTTGCCTCCTCTGGGTATTTTGTTGGCTTTTATTTTATTTGAACTTCTTACGTGCCCTGAAAGCATTCCCTTATTTCTGGTGACCCTTATTCACTTATTCTGAAGACTCCCTCCCATGTCCCCAGTCCTAGACTGCTCCTCTTCTCGCTGCTCCTTCTTCTATTCTAAATACTGAATGTGCAGATTATTCTTGAGAATGCAACGAACTGTGTACAAGTTTAAGCTTTGCTTCAGTCATCAGTAGTGCCCAGAGCGTGCTTCATTTGCAGGCACAGCAGAAGCAGGAAGGCAGATGCAGTAAGACAGGTACAGAAAAGAGTTGTTGCTAATGGAGAACTGCTAAAGCACACTGAAAAATCTGATTTGGTCTATGATGTGTTTCTTTCTATCAAGAAAAAATTAACAGAGAAATTGGTAATTTTGGGTCAGTAGTCAGATGCATGAACTAATATGAAATGTTACAATACCTTGCTTAAGGTGTAATTTCATGTGCAGAAAGAAAATAGCCTTTTATTTAGGACCCTTAATTCACTTTATACATTAATTTTGTGAAACTTTTGCACACAGTAAAAGGCAAACGAATACATGGTGGTCAAAGCATGTCGGGTTTCCAAAAGGATAAAAATCTGCCTGCGCCAAATTATAGGTGGCAACTATACATTTAATGAAAAAGATTCTTCATTTGCAAAACCAAGTAACTCCCATGTTTTGTGGTTAAACTAGGTTTTCCTAGAAAAATACAATTGTAGATTGATCGTGATCCTCTTGAATTATCTTTAGTATCCTGTAATTATTTCTAC